TTTTTATTATATCATTTTCAAGTGCCTTGTTCCAAAAACTTTCAATGTCGCCCTCGAATTTGAAATTAAGTTTAAAATTTGGCTACTCTTTGAAAAATAACCCTGTATATATTTAAAAGTGTTAAATATTTTTTTCCGTACACACAGTACGCTCTTTTATTTAAACCTTTGCCAGTTCTCTACGCAAAGGTTGTTTGGAAGAGATTTTAGAAGGATAAACATAAATGCAATTATGCTCGCACAATATTATGTTTGTTTTGCATTCCAACAAAACATGCATTGTGGTTTGAATAAGACACACAGCGCAGATAGATGAAGAAGCTGTTCGTGAATAGGAATCTTTAAGACATACTGTTGTCAGGTATGTCTTACAGTCAGGTATGTCTTAAGGCTTTCACTAGCCTGAATGACCTTGACGAAACGGTGATCGCAGAGATTTTAGCAGACGTCAACACCGTCTAGCGACTTCGTTCTGTATTACTTATAAAAGTGCAAAGATTAATAGACTGCAGAGATGATAATTATATAAGTGACATACTGCCTGTTATGCTTGCGCATCACGGAGAATTATGTCACGGTTACGCATCTTCAATTACATTGCACGGTGTGGTGCTATAGCTTTGTCCGGTAGGCATCACGAGCTATCAAGTGTTCAAGTTTCAAGTACGTAAGAGTTTTTATTATATATATTAAATCGTATTTATTTGTGTCGTATTAGTAGATTTGGGTCAAAGCGTACGCTGTAAATTTTTACCGGGTTTGATCCCCGACAGCACGAATGAAATTTGTAGTTGCAATTTTCGTCAACACGCATTGGGGCAGCGCGGCGGGCATTTCCTTGCCCTAAAACCCTCTCAGAAATAAAAAGCGTCCTGTGCCCGGTAGACGGACTTGTATAGCCTATTACTTTACTTTGTAGCAATATTCATAATCGTTTCAGATTCAAAAGGGTACCTTATGCTGACAAAAATATCATGTGGAGGCGACGAAAACGTAAAACATCTTTGTACCTTGATAAAATGTTCGAGAGATTGTCAGTCATGTCATACGCCACATTTTCTATAGAGCGTAGAACGTTGCAGATAGGGCAAAATAAAAAATAATACTAAATATTATAGGAATGATTTATTAATAATATACACTTTTATAGGTATTTATAATAAAAATAATGAACAGACTGCAAGGCTCAACTAATAATGTTTCTTGTAAACACAATTGTAAAATTCCTGTTTCCAGTTTTACCAATGGTTAATTTATGAAACGTAGTCAAGATCACTTCATATTAAATATATTTAATTAAAATTGACACATGACTTATTTGGTCTTCTACTTACAACTCGGCGCAAATTTGAAAAGAATATTTTGTCTGTTCTTAATTATCTTGTGTACACCATTTTTCACACAAGTATTGTTTACAACTGGCGTGGTTTCGAAAAGCGTGATTAAATGTCAGCGGTATATAATCAATTAAATACTGAACTTTTTTGAAAATTATTTTCTTGTTTATTTTTGTTATATCTTCTTAAAACTGACGCCATTTCACTATTTTTTTTGTAACGCATGAGAGTAAGTTAGACTAAGTTAGATTAACTTGGATAAGTTTGTAATTTTTTTAATTATATCACAAAATTTCCGCAATAAATTATTACCTTTTCTACAGTGATGAGGTGAGACCTCTTAATTTCGGCGTGACTGTAGGCTGTTATACTGAGTCACCGTCAGTTAATAAGCGGCCATAAATCATTATATGTATGTATAGACATACATATATACATTTTTTGATTTTCTTATTTATGTTTTTTTTAATTTTGATTGATTTTTTGAAACCTGGTAAAATTATTTTTTTCCATACCAATTCATGGGCCTGAGTATAATGCCAGTTATGCTCTTTGGCTGAAGTTATTTTTTATTTTATGCTAATAATATTAATATTGATTGCGCATCTCTAAAACAAAATTTTACCTCTTCTCCTTCTAATAAAAGCTCCTGCACCTAACACGGCTGAATAGTTATTATTATCTATAAGACCATTTTCAGAAACAGTTTTTGTTAACAGTTATGAGTGTAACACTTTTATCAGCTGCTTTGTTTATAGTGCCTTGAACAACACTGCCGGTTTCTGTACAGAAAATGATGCTGGCTTTGCAAATATGGATGGCCGCTACCATTGAATATAATACCCGCTATGTCACACTTATTTACATAGAAACTTTAATTAATTATCATTTGCATAAAATTCTAAATAGTACTTTTTTAAATAGTACTTCAATCGGTTTGTTTAAATATAACTACAAAAAATACTTACTCAATATTCAAAAGTCAATTTATTGAAAATTATTTACTGTGTCTTACATACTTTGCTATTCCGTTTATTCGTTTCCTTTTAATCTTATTTAAGTAATTGCTATTTATATTATATTAATTTATTATAAGTACTTATGTATGTTTTATTACTTATTATTATTAGTGTAATCGTGTATATGGTTTAAATATACTGTATTTGCATATTGACTTAACATTGTATAATAATGAATATTGTTAAGTTTTGTTTGTGTTAAATGTTATCGGCACCAACGGAAGATCAGTGTTGAAGTACTTTGTTAGTACCAAGACTATGCTGAGTTGGGTACCTTTTTAGTAACCGTTTATCTTAATATGTTATTATGGTTAGCAAACTTCTAAAATGTGTTACTAAATAAACTTATTTTCTTTCTTCTTTCTTTCTTCTTTTTACACCAAAAGTAAACTTTTAGATCAGTCCGTCTTGTTTTTCACTAAGTAAGTGAAAAGTAAAACAAACCAATAGATCTGTGATTTAAAATTTCTTGCAACTTTTTATAGAAAAGCATGACCTTATCATAATACCTAGTCAGGTCATAAATTCTGTCACATGCTTAATATAAAATAATTGAAACAAGTTTATTCATTATGTAACCATTTATATACCAAAATGAACTTAACAAAACATAGATTCTTAGGACACTAAAGTTTATTCAAAATGACCTCCATGATTTTGAATACAGGCCTTCAATCTGCGCGGCCAGTCGTCTATCGCAGCACGACCGAGGTCCATATCAATATCGGCGGCTGCCTTAATCAAAGATGTCGTGAGTGACTCTAAATTGGGATGAAGCTTTGAGCACGCCTTTTCCTTAAAGTGTTGCCATATCTTGTAATCTAACGGATTCAAATCTGGACTGGAGGAGGGCCAGTCTTCGTGCCAGATGAAGTCGATTTCAAGCGCCGCCAGCCAGTCTTGTGTGCTCTTCGCTCTATGAGCTGGCGCCGAATCTTGTTGGAACACTCAGTGCCTGTTATTGAACATGGTATGAGAAACAGGTTCCACAAGGTTCGTTAGGACTGTATTTTGATATACAACTACATTCGTTTTTACACCTTTCTCACAAAAATGTACCTCTGTTAAGCCCTAATAAGAAACTCCCAACCATACCATGAGCGAGGATGGAAAATCGTTCTCGTTGGACACGCGGAATATGGTTGCTCGCTTCTTCATTACTGTGTGCGTAAACGTCTCTTCTACGGTAAAAATTTTTTTACCGTAGAAGAGAGCTACAACAAACAAAATGATAAGGTGTATCATTTTGTTTGTTGTAGCTTTCTTCTACGGTAAAAATTTTTTCATCCGAAAAAAGATCCCGATATTTTTTTCCTGCGTACCGCTTCAACAAAGCGCGGCATCTTTTTCTTCGATATGCCCGAAGCCCTAAGTCTTCATTTAACACCCTTTTCACCGTGGTTCTGCTTAACCCCATCTGGAAGGGCCAACAGTTTTTGCTTACGTTTGGGATTTCTTTGAATTCGCGCCTTCACAGTTTTTATCACTGCTGGAGTCCTAACAGACCGAGGGTGACCACTTCTTGACCTGTCACCTACACTAGAGTCTTCATTGTATCGTTTGATGGTACGATAAACGAATCTTTTGGTTATATTCAAATTTTTCAGTATGTCAAAAATTTGAATTGGCGCGTAACCGCAAAGATGCAACGCAATAACTGCAACACGGTCTTCTTTAAGCGTCCACTCCATATTTAAAAATTAGTAAAATTCTAAAAAGTATACAGTTTTATTTTCATGAACAATTCGAAATTCGAATTCAATAAACTTTTTTGTGGCCAGGATTCTAAAAGAAAAGTTTTTACTGTGTGACAATACTTATGACCTGACTAGGTATAATAGTCAATAATTTAGCCATGTGATAAAAGTTTTAAGTGTGATAAAAGGTTTAACTCTACTGGTAATATATATATATATATTTTACCAGTAGTGTTTCAACAAAATCTTTAAAAAGTTCAATGAATTAAAAAAATGCCGATAACTATATAACTTCAAGTTAGTGTCTTACATTTAAAGATCAGTTATAAAGAGCCAAAGTTCTTATTTTCATTTTGATTAATTTAATTCGATACTAAAATTGAAAAAGAGATGCTGGCAATAGTGTTTGCGGCAGAAAGGTTTACATTTATGGCAGGTCAGATGTTACTGTACAAACTGATCACAAGCCCTTGGAGGCATTGTTCAATAAGTCGTTGTCATCTGTACCGATACGACTACAACGCATGATGATGAGGATATAGGGATACGATTTCAAGGTGGTGTATACTCCGGGCAAGTATATGTATATTGCCGATACGTTATCGAGGGCTCCTCTGCCGGAGTTTATGCACGATCGAGAGTCTGAGGATGTTGAGATGCAAACATGTTTTATGATTGAATGTATGCCGTTTAGTAGAGAAAAATAGATAGAGTTTGAAAGGCGACAGAGGTTGATGAGGAATGTCAGTTATTAATTAAGTACATACTAAACGGCTTGGCAAAAAATGAGCATGATGTTCATAAAAACGTTAGAAAGTTTTGGTCATATTGTGGAGAACTCCAATATGTGAATGGGTTAATATTAAAAAATTATTGTATATTTATTCCGCAAAGTTTACGAGCCGAAATGATTTAAAAGTACACGAATGTCACCTAGGCATAGAGAGGTGTAAGAGGCGCGCGCGTGATGTAATGTTCTGGCCAGGGCTGTCAGCGGACGTGGAGCGCGCCGTGCGCCGCTGTGAATCGTGTGCTCTGCATGCACCGGCTCCCGCGCGGGAACCACTACTTCAACATATCGTACCCAATGCACCTAGGCAAAAACTTGCCTCAGATATCCTTGAGTATAAAAAGAAATACTATGTCATATTAGTAGACTATTTTTCTAATTATGTTGAAGTTCAAGAAGTAAATAGTATATACAGTAGAACAATTATTCACTTTATGAAGGAACAATTTTCGAGGCATGGCATCCCTAGCGAGCTTGTTACTGATAATGGGCCGGCATATAGTTCCCAAGAATTTAAAAAATTTCTTAGGGTATGGGAGGTTAAGCATGTGATTTCATCACCTCATTACCCTCAGTCAAATGGGAAAAGTGAGTGCACAGTGCAAACTATAAAAAATCTTCTCAAAAAAATGCGTCGATTCTGGGGATGATTTCTTTATAAGTTTATTGAACTATAGGAGTACGCCTAGGTATGGAATGGATTCTCCGGCACAAATTCTGATGGGAAGACGTTTGTGTACGAAGCTACCGATTAGTGATTTGCTATTAAGTGAAACGATTGATAGAAATAGAAATTACAAAACGTTAATGCAACAGAGAAAATATAATAAATTACAGTATGATAGGTCGGCCAAGCCATTGCGGACTGTATTACCAGGAAATAAAGCAATTTTAATTGATAACGGAAATAGGAAACCCGTTTCTATTATTAGACCGTCGGAGGAACCACGTTCGTTCATAGTACAGGATACGCGCGGACGGCGATTGAGGCGCAATCGCCGTCACTTGATAGTACAATATGCAGACAGCGATGAAACGTGTCCCGCCGCCTGCGCTGCGAGTGCAAGTAACGCTAAGTTAGCTGACTTAACGGCCAAGACTGTAGCTTCAAACCCAGAACAGTTTGGCCCTTTGTTTTCGACAGATAGTAAAACGGATACGGAAGGTCATAGTCCATGCATTAATCCTCCAATAACTAGGTCAAAAGCACGACTCATGGCTAAGATGAAATATCCGATGAAAGAAAAAATATAACAGTTGTTTTGTATAGAAGTTATTTACATACTAATATACGTATTTATATTAAGTGTATATTTTTAAGTCTCTATATTCTGTAGATATTGACTTAATTGTGTTTATTTTTAGGTTTGCTATTATTTTGTAATTTCAATTAAACACTGTTCGATACTTGTTGAAGCAAAATAAATCATAAAACATAGAAGTGAATTATATTATAACATAATATATAGAAATATGTTCATGTAACGCCTAGGTGGCTTCGTTACTATGATATTTATATTAATTTTGTATGAGTTTGTATTTGGTATACGGTCCATTTCTACAGTTAGCGTTATCTTTCATTTGATTTCATTATATAGTTTTTTTTGTTGTTATAAATCATTTTTGTACCTACTTCAGTGTTCATTATAAAAGGGGAAGGATGTAGTATATTGTGGGTATATTGATATTTTGTGTGAATACTGTACCTTCATAAATATAATAAATCAGTTTTGAGCCAGCTAGCGTTTATTTTATTACAAATGGAATTTATTTTTAATTATCTCTATTGTAGCATATTTCGCGCCATAAAAGGGTGAAAATGGTGAAAAATGTTCATTTAATTTTCGTTCCTGATCGTCCAACGCCAATATTGAAATGATAAAATGTTTTAAACTGAGTATGTTTCGATGTAATTGTGAGTTATTAATTCTACATGGCTTTAAAAGGCATTAAATTATTTTAGGAAATGAACCGGACATAGACATAAGTTGATAAAGGATTAAGAAAAAAAAATTGCAGACACTTCTGAAGAGATTGACGTAGGGGCAAACTAACCCAAAGTTGTATTTACAAAAATTAAAAAAAAAAGTGTTTGGTTTAATCTACGATTATTACAGCGTATTATTATATTCAAAAAAAACTCTCACGATAGGGCAGAAAGTTTCTAAAAGAATAATTAGAGATGATGGCAGGAGACCCGACGGTATGACATTGGTCTCTTGGGAGAGAGGTAAAGCCCTAATGTGGGATGCTACTTGCGTAGACACTTTGGCGGCCTCTCATCTCAAGAGTACCTCGTATAGAGCCTGGGCGTCATCAGAGGTAGCTGAACTGAGTAAGTGGTGCAAATATTGATCTCTGAGAGATGACCACCTACATATTTGTACCATTTGCTGTAGAGACTATCGGTCCGTGGTGTCATCATGCGGTGAAGTTCCTAAAGGAACTTTATCCACGACTGTTTGGTGCTGCTGGTGATACGAGGGCTGGTTATTTTCTTGTTCAAAGAACTTTCCTAATATATTTATTAATTTTTAGGTATTTCTTTAATTTTCTTCTATTGCAGGTAATTTTTGCTACTGTTCTTGATGTGACATAATCATCACCAGACAAATCGATTGTTGTGGAGGGTTGCAATGCTTTAGAAGATTCAAATTCTATGAGCTCATTGAACAGACTTTGAGTTTGATACGCTTTCAAGTTATCTATGTATTGTTTTGATTACACAATCTGCTTATTGGCCTCACTTCACTGTAATTGCAATGCAGAAATTCATCTGAGGGATTCCACATAATCCTTCCTGCATTGGTCAAACTCACTGTTCTCTGAAGTTGATACCTTTCTTTTAAAACAATAGTATATTTTTTATGCAATTTAACCATATCACTTTTTAGCTCAGTATTTTTAGCAAGTATATTTATTATTTCCTTTTCATTGTCATCCCTTTTTTACAAAACAGCTCACACTGCTCCTTTGACGCCGTAAGTTCTTGAAACGCCATTTGAAGTTGGTACTCCTACTGGCGTGTTTTAGCGTTGCGTGTATTCTTTTTACTATTAAGTGTAAATTGCAAAAGAAAACAAAGAAAAAAAAAAACGAAGAAGCAGAGTAAACAGTCGTCTAGATCTATGGGTTTATATACAGATTTCAAATTAAATTATCATGTAAATAATTCAAAATGAAATCCAGAGCAACATTTACTTAAAAAGTAAATCTTAAAATATTAAAAGGATTACGATGTTCGTTACAGCTGTCACTTTTGGTTAGAGCACTAAACGCAATTTAATTAAAATACTTATGACTTTTGGTTATTTTACAAATACAAATAAGTCGTATAAAACAACTGTTAGTCAAAATTGAGGTGGATATTATCAATTTACAAGAGTTGGGAGCAAGTATTTTATAACTTGTCACCGGGGTCGCCACAGAGTAAATTAAAAAATATCACGTACCTAATAGTGTATGTTCTTCGGAATATAAATCGGTCTTATAATTGTATATAATCAGTCTTATATATTTTATTCGTGTGTTTCATTCGCATTACAATTCCCTCACTATATTCCGATGTGACGATAATCCGACACGATTGGAGAGAGATAAAGCGCAGGATATATTACCGCTTACACATAGTTTTCGAAGCTACTGAGGTGTACACCGCCAACTTCCTGACTCCCGGCTACTATCACTAGATCAAAGAGGTAGTCAAAACATAATGAATTTGAGTGAAAAGGTTATATATATTGTGTATAGTATAGTCTGTATACCGACAGATGGTATTGTTTGATTTATGTTCGCACTGTTAAATGTATGCCGTTGTACTTACTTAGCTGCTTATGTATGTCAATGTAGTTTAAAATTCGAGTGAGTATACGAGTTGTGTTTAAGCGAGCGTATATCATTTCTAACAAATCAATAATTGTGACAAACAAGGAAAACATAAACAGATCTATCATATTAACCTTTCTCACATTGAACAATAATTATCAGCAAGTTACTAATATTTTGGCTAACACCTCGGTGTATTCAGGGCCGGATTAACTTTTAGGCAGAGTAGGCAACTGCCTAGGGGCCCCGCATCGGGTAGGGACCCCGTTGCGCGTACTAATATAATATAAAATGTTTCATACAGAGAAAATTTTATTGGAAAATTTATAACCTCAGTGACAATAGCTTAGATTATTAATAGTGTAGTAATGACTTATCAATTATCTAAGGACAATAGCTATTATTACGTTTTAGCGACGCGTGTCAGTTGACGAAATACTTCATACTCAGAACCATCGAGTATCGAGTAGTAGAACTAATAATATGGATACGATACGTATCGTATTGTATGATATACAAAAGTTTTGAAATGCTTGATCTGTAATTACGTTTTGTGAGTTTTGCGAACTGGATCGTCACTTATCTATAACCTATGCATTAAGACAATTACAATGAGCCCAATACAAATATTTTGCTGTAAGTTCCTGAGGAGTTAAGCATCAATCCTCTGGTGCTACTCACATCCCTTTATGCTGGCTGCAAAGGGGCTCCAAGAATTCCATTGCCTAAGGCCCCCAACATGGTTAATCTGGCCCTGGGTGTATTTTACTTCCAACTCATATCAAATAATCAATTTGTTTAACTCACAACACCTATCCTACAAAAGAGGCGGGCTTACAAAGCGGGCTAACGGGCCATGTGATACAAACTCTCGCACGCGGACGTAAGGTGCATTTTGATTTAACACGGGCGCCATAGCAATCTCTATTCTATTTTGGCAAAAGTCGCATCCGTGGCTGCAAAGTACTATGAACACTAGCATTGCTGCAACTAGGTTTAAACTCGCAAGTTTCATATCAGAGAGTGATTTTTATATAATTATGCTATTATATATGACTTATGTATTCTACGACTATGCGCCATTACGTTCCATGCGCCGGCCGAAGCAGGACACGGTTACGAGTATTTGAAGGCTTGTAGTCGATGATTTCGCGTGTCGAAGTAACAAAGTCCTTGTGGTGCCAGTAATTAATAATATTAAAAAGTGCGGGAAAAATGAACTTTTTTGTGAAGTTTTGCGTTTTCATTGCGATTATTCTTTTGGGAATTTATGAGTTAGATGTATAGTGTCTGTTTAAAATGCAATGTAATATGTAAATGTTATAATGTATTATTACGCGTATATTGGGTTGATGATGTTCTTGATATTTGTGAGTACTAATCACATTATAATAAAAAATTCAATTATAACGTATTCAAATTTTAATTATTCGATTCGAAATGAAACTTCCTACTCTAGACGTATAGTTTTTAATATAGACATTTTGTGGCAAAAAGCTTCTTAGTGGCGGGTGTAAAATAAATGCTCTATTCATCGGCGCTTACGTAAGTTATATATGACGCTTATTTCATAAATGTTTTAAATTGTATTATTTTAAGCCCTGTATAACACCGGAGTTTCCAGAATGTTCTAGCAATTTTATGTATCTTAAATTTTATGTTTTCTTATAACATTATTTAACGTATTTAGTTTAAATATTTTATTTTAATAATATTTAAAACATGTAGAATTTTTAAGACTAACTAGTTAATTTATACTTACTTATTGTTTTTGCAACGCTTTGATACATCTACCTGTATATATATTTTTAGGGTTTCTATCTTA